AGCGCTGCTCCCCGTGCCTCCTCTCTCCTTCCCCTCAGGCTGAAGGGGAACCAGCAGCGCCCTTCCACGCCCAGCAGCTCACCCGAGCAGACATACCTCCTAAGGCAAGGCAAGGTTTACTCTAGAACAGAGCTTGGGAGAAGTGTGGCCTCTCTCTGCTGGGCAGGCTCTTCACGGTCCGTTGGTCTCCCACGTGTGCCTGAGGGCAGCTTTGGACAGGCTCTCTGCTGCCTAGGACAGACAAGGTGTCAGTGACCCACATGCACAGCAGGAGGGGGCTGAGAAGCAGTGGGGGGAAACCACCACAACGGACAAGTCAGAGCAGAGAGAGAATTTTTTTTTAGCAAAGTCTTTATTACAGAAATATTCACCCTCTAGACTTTAATATCTGTACATGCATTTCTTCCAGTAGGAAGATGTTGCTAAAACCAGACAGAACCCCAGCAGGCAGCCCAGCACGGGCTCCTTCTCCACCTGCTGCTCAGCACTGGCATCTGTGACTGAGAACACGTCAGAGAAGAGACTTGGTGCTACAAGAGCTAGCGAGCTGTGCTGCTGGGGGTGCCTGCTGCTCTAGCAAGGGTCAGCAGAGGGTCTGTGCAGGAGGGGGCAGGTGCCTCCAGAGAGCAAAGCCTGACCAGCCCCCCAGCCACCAGCTGCCCAGCAGTACCTGCTCCCCCGGAGCTGCTGGGCCCAGAGGACAGAGCAGGGACTGCACGAGCCACTCTCCCCAGCTCCCAGGAGGTAACAGAGCCAGCCCCTGGGACCAGGGTTACCTCTCCCAACCCCACCCCCGATGAGAGAGGGTCCTGGGGCTACCTCTGTAAGGCAAAGGCTTTCTCACCAGGTACCTCGGGTGGGGACCGTTGGCTTCCTGCCCTCGGGGGGGTCACAGGAGACGCTGGGGCCCCAGCAGCCTCTGAGCCGCCTCCGTCCCTTGGGGGGGGCCACGGGAGATCTGGGGCCCCCACCTGCCTCTGAGACCGAGGATTTGTACGTGGTGCTCTCGGCCCAGGAGCTGGGGAGGTCCTTCACACAGGCCCCCTGCTCCCTGCTCTGCCCCTCGCCCCTGGCCACCCAGAAGCCAGCCAGCCCCTCCCCTGCCCCCTCTGGCACTCGAGGCAGGGCTCAGGCTGTGCCCCCTGCCCCAGGGCAGAGTTGGGAGACAGGACAACTCAACTAAAACCATCTCATCCTTGCGTCCAAGCCGCCCACCCTAAACTGGGCACCCAGCAGCGGGGTCTCCCCTGCGCAGCGTCCGGCACGAGTTGGGAGACAGGACAACTCAACTAAAACCATCTCATCCTTGCGTCCAAGCCGCCCACCCTAAACTGGGCACCCAGCAGCGGGGTCTCCCCTGCGCAGCGTCCGGCACCCGGCCGGGTCCCCCCGTGGAGAGACCCCCAGGGAGAGAGGCCACGGTCAGACAGGGGGTGAGGGGTCAGTTGTAACCTCTACAAAAAGTTGGCAACCCAAGAAAGCAAGCAGCAGAGCCAGCCTGGGGCCGAGCCCACCCCAGGGAGCAGCCTCTGAAGTGCCTCCAAGCTGACCGGCGCCAGCAAAGCAGTGCTAAGGGGAGAGCAAAAAGATGAAGGGGTGAGTGGGAGAAACATCCAAGTGCCAAATCCAGAACCCGAGGGACCCAATCCAGAAGCAGCTGAGCACCACCACCACCACCACCACCACATCTGCCAGGCCCTGCTCGGAACGGGGCAAGCCCGGGGGCTTCTCACCACGCTCCAAGGGAAGAGCTCCTCCAGAGGCAAGGAGCAGCTGACTCCAGGAGCAGGAGAGGTGAGGATGAGGGGGGCACTCGGCCTTTCAGGGGACAGCCTGGGCTGGAGGATGCACAGCAGCAGCTGAGGCAGGGTAACTGCAAGGGAGAAGGCCTCTAAAGCACAGCTAGATACCACCACAGGTCAGTGAAGCAGGTGAAGCTACCCAAGCGCTGGAACCTCAACAGCAATCCTGGCTCACGGGACAAAGAGATGGGACCTCTGGGGGCCTGGGGGAAAGGTGTGTGTGGGGAGAAGGAGGCAGGGAGAGGAGTTATTGTATGCCAGCTGCAGGGGTTGTGGAATGGAGATGTAAATAGCATTGTTTAACGTGGAGCAGGCAGCAAAAGCATCGTCCCCTCAGGTTCATCGGTGTCTCGCGTGACACGAGACAGTTAAGTTCTGCTTCCTGAAGTGGAAATAATCCAGAGGCAGGCTGGAGGTGGCCCAAGGACTCTATTGCCAGAAGATCAGGTTGGACTGCAGCTCTAACAGTTCTTAGCAGAGTGGTATCAGAAATGGGATGTCACAGGAATAATGGTCAGTGGTGGGACAGTCTGGGTACGAGGCAGGAATGTTCCGTGTGCTCCTTCCTCCGCGGGGCCGTGGCTCTGGAGTCAGCCAGCTCAAGACTTGGGCACTTTGGTGTAGTCTTCACTGTGTATGTTCTTGCAGAGCGAAATGGAGAGGATCATTCCCAGCAGCTGGAAGGAGAAATGAGGAAGGGCAGCCAAGTCAGCACGCAGACAGATAACAAGGTGGGAAGAAAGGGTGGTACAGGGGAGCAGAACGCAGCGCTCCCCTGTTAGTGGTGCCACAGGGGTTAACAGAGTCACTCCCCAGTGCAAGAAAAATGCAATAACAACTGGGATGACAACAAATATTTGGCTGCAAGATGATGTGCTTTCATCTGCAAACAGCGTTGTGAGCTTCTTAAGGCAACCAGCAGGATCTCAGCAGTGGGATGGTGCCTGTCTCACTCCTGCTCACACATCCAGCGAGCTGCCCAGGGCCAGGCCCACGAGCAGACAGGGCTTGGTTCCATTTCTAACCCACCCAGTGATGGCAGCAGCAGCTCCCAGCTCCCGCCGAGAGCTAGAGCAGCACCATCACTGAACCAGTGGACAGCTTTGCCCTCAGAGAGTCTCTGTGGGTGGATTTGTGCCAGGGAGCAGCTCACCTCTATAACTGCAACACCGGTGCAGACCCCGAGAATGACACCAAGGTTGTCCTTCAGCCAGTTCTCCACACCAGCCATGCACCCCTACGGAGAAAGCAGCAGGACTCTGAGTACCTTAAGGCTGCCAATCCCAAACACATCTCCCTGTGCATGCAGAGGTGATCCCAGCCACGTGCTGTACCACACTTCACAGCAGCTTTAGCAGGAAAGGGCCCCACGGCCTCAATGCCCACAGTTACTTCCAGCAAGACTGATGTGAGAGAAGCACTCTCAGTAATCCCCAGAGGCACAGAGAGAAGGTGGCCCCAGTGGAGCTCCCCGGGGCCCAGGCACCCACCTGCTCGTGCACAGGCCAGTCCGCGGCCGTGGCGGTGCCGTTGACCGGGGTGTCCAGCTTACAGAAACCACTGTCTGCCCCAGCGTCCTTGGAGCTGTTGGAGCAGGAGCAGGGATATTCTGCCAGGCTTCGGTTGATGAGAACCTCGTTGTTCTCCCAGTCCTTTGCTCCAGTCCAGCCACAGCAGGCGACCTGAGAAGCAGAGAGAGATCACCGTGCTCTTACCCCTGGCACTGGTAACGTTCTGAGAATGAAGGGGCACAAGCACTCAGGAGCTTCTGCCTTACCACCACTCCAGAACCACAGCAGGGGTTGGGTGGGAAGGGACCTTCCAAGGTCACCCAGTCCAACCCCCTGCAGGGACAGGGACATCTGCAGCTAGAGCAGGGTGCTCAGAGCCCCGGCCAACCTCCCCTGGGATGGTGCCAGGGATGGGGCAGTGACCACCTCTCTGGGCAGCCTGGGCCAGGCCCTCACCACCCTCAGCAGCCAACATTTCTTCCTTCTCTCCAGTCTAAATCTCCCTTTTTCAGTTTCAAACCATCACACTTGTCCTGTCCCAACAGGCCCTGCTCCAAAGTCTGTCCCCAGCTTTCTGCCAGGCCCCTGAAGTACTGAAAGGCTGCAAGAAGGTCTCCCTGAAGCCTTCTCCTCTCCAGGCTGAACAGCTCCGTTGCAGACTACACACACAGGTCCTCCAGCAAGTTCTAGCACACCAGCCATGCTGGAGCACGAATCCTTCACAAGCCTTACTGCACAAGGCCTGGATACTCCAACTCCAGCAGGCTCTCCAGTTCAACAGCAACTCAAAGCATTTTTGCTGGCTGAGTAGTAGGAACCTCATCTGATTCTCCAGGGACAACGCTGAACAGAGGGAAAAGTGCCAAACAGAAGTTCCTCGTGGCTCAGCTGGAGGAGGGCAGAGAGATGCTTTCAGTGCCTCCAGCTGGCCATCAGCAGATGGATTTGGTGAGGGAGAGGCAAGGCAGGCAAGAGATGAACGTGTCAGGACATCACAGGCACCCTAAAACATCTCAAAAGGATCACTGCCTCACCTGCCACCGGCAATGCCACTTGCAGAGGTTTTGATTCTATTCTATTTTGAGCAGCACACATTTTTTTCATCGGCCAGGAACTCATTTTGTGGATCCAGTGGCAAGGTGCCACCGAGCCCAGCTGTGGCCCTGGG